CACTGCTGAGGGGAGCAGCGGGCATGGCAGGAGAGGTCTGCGCACCATGTGGGACCCTTGCCGGTGGCCAGGGATCAAACCGGTGCTGCAGAGGCTGTGGGCAGTTTTGCAGCCCAGTGCTCAACAACTGCGCCACCAGGGGAGGCCCTAGAAAAACATTTTTTATTTTACCACTTTTTCTCCATTCTCACTCCTACTTTCCTCCCTTCTCCTCCTTCCTGGGATTTCATATAGAGCCTTATATTTTTGTGTGTGTTTGAAGAATGTATAGCTTTACTTTGTCCAGATTAAATTTTAATATTGTTAAATGGTATTCTGTTATAAATCCTTTTCTACTTTTTGTACTCAACACTGAGATTTTTGGTGCTGTCCATATGACTGTTTGCCAATGGTTCTCAACTGTACTACATAACACAATCACTAAGGGAGCTTTTGAACACAACCAATATCTGGATCTCAATTCCAGTGGTTCTGATTTAATTTGTATAGGGTGGGGGCCAAGACTCAGATCATTCTAAAATGCAGCCAGGATTGAGAACCACGGCTGTATATGAAGTTAGCTCACTGGCCAGGACTTCTTAGGCAGGAAGAGAACCAGGCTAAGCACCTTTTTTTGATCTCAGCCAGTCCCTTCAGCAAAATCAAGAATTACTGATCCTAATGGCAAAAGCAAAAGATGAGAGAAGAGGGTAACTTTCAGCCTAAGGATTTGTAAGGAAGGACAGAAATCGGCCCTACCTCTCCACCCGCTTTGTAAAAGTCATGGAGTAATACGCTGCTCTTGTCTGTTCATTTAATGCAGGCAACACATGCAACATGATAGTGAGGAACCCAGCTGTTGAAGTCTTGTGTTGCATGTGGCTGCTAAAACACCAGCAGTCTTTACTTACTCTACTTTCTCTTGGAAGGTCCAGTATCATTAATGGATGGTTATTCCAATTATAATCACGGAACCAGCAGTCACTAGCTGAGTGACATATTCCTGACATACATGAAGTATGCAAAAGGTGATGTCTTCCTATTTGATATTAATTGGCACTAGTAATTAGTTGACTCACTGGAGAAAAACATGGCTAAAGCTGATAATAATTGAAAATTGATATGTACATGCATTAAGCTTCTTATTTTAACCTAAAACATGTAAATGTACTTTCATGAATCATATTTTTCAGGTAGAACCAAAGGATGCTTTGACTTTAAGTTCTCTGACTGGATTTCCAACATTATCTCTAATGTAATCTACAGCTACAAAATATATTTTACTTTACAATTTCTACTTTCTATTTTCCTAAAGTCAAGCAGAACTTAATTGCCCTTCTGAAGACACCTAGGTGTAAAATTCCATTTAAAAATATCTTCCCAGGATTTATTATTGACATTTTAAATATCTATATGAACAAGTTGCAAGAGTGGCATGATAAACACCAAAATATCCACTGCCTAAAGTTAAAAATTTGTTAACCTATGGCCATATTTGCCTTATTTCTCATGATATATATAGCTCAAAGTCTGTATCAACTATCATCTATGCTGAGTTTTGCTCAATGTTTGAAAATTCCAGTCATCAGAACACTTACCCCTAAATACACAACATGCACCTCCTTAGGAGAACATGCCTCTATATCATTTTACACAATGAAAGCTAACAATAACTTCATAATAACATCTAATGACTAGTTTTCAAATTTCCCAGCTGTCACAAGATTGTCACCTACACTCTGTATTTGCTCAAATAACACCCCATGCTGGTTCATTTATAACATTTAGTATTTTATTTTTTGGCTCACCTTTGTTTTTTTTTTTTTTTCCTTCTTGATAGTGACTTTTAAAGAGTTCAGGATATTTTGTATGGAATCCAATATACTGAATTTACTTGAGTGTTTTCTTGTGGTGTCAGGATTTCTCTTTATCCTGCTTTGAATGTAAAGAGTTAAGTTTGAACAGATTCATGTTAAATATTTTGGGCCATGCCCTTCACTAGTGTGCTGTATACCTCATGTGGCATTATATCTTCTGTAAGTATTTTTGATGAACACCTACAAGCATTTAACTGGAAGTAGAATTACTAAGTCATGCAAATATTCAGTGTTCTCAAGTGCTTGTACCAATTTGCACTCCTATCAACAGTATCAATGTCAATGGCTTTTCAATTTTGTCGACAATTGAAATTTTCATTTATACATTTGTACTGATATTAAATTGTAATTTTAATTGCCTTTGCCAGATGAGTATCTTCTCATGTGCCTATGATCATCTAGATGTGAAATGCTTAATTCTTTTGCCTATTTTTAATTTGCTTGCCTGTCTTTTTTATAAAATTATTTGTAAGATTGGATATGAATCCTTCATTGGTTATATATTTTTAAAACATCCCTCTGAATCATAGACAGTGTTGTAAACCAATATTACCTCAATTGAAAAAAAATGAAATAAAAAAAAACTTCTCCCACTCTGTGGTATTAAATTTGCCCTCCCTGAATTGAACCCTTTCATGATATAAATTCTTAATTTTAACATATTCCAGTTTATCAGTCAACTCCATTCTGTCCAATGGTTTTATATTCTGTTTCAGAAATCTTTTCTTTCACATTGAGATCCTCCACGGTTCATCTGGAATTAATTTTTTTGACATTTTTTAGGGGGATTAATTTTTTTGGTATAAGAAAAAGTATGGTGTGAGCCTATTTTTCTACTTAACCAAAATATTTTACTGAAAAGGCCATCCTCTCTCCTGTGTTACTATGCTCCCCTTGTCATAAATCAAAAATTCATATACATTTGGGTCTCTATCTAGACTTTATTTTCCTCCATTGGTTTGTGTATTCTTGTGCCAATAATATCATGCTGTTTCAATTACTGTAACTATGCAACTTTTAATATCCAGTAGTATATGAGGGCCAAACTTGGCCTTCCTAGTCAGGGTTGCTTTTGTTACTGGGAGATTTTACTTTCTATGTCAGTTTTAGAAATCAACTTGATAATTTCCAGGGAAAAAAACCTACTCAATTTTTATTAAGATTGCATTGAATCAGTAGGTCAATTTCAGGAGAAACCATGTGGCATAAAATATTTAAATCTTGTTAAATTTCTCTTGATAATGCTTAGTAGTTTTGTTTTAAATTATTAATTACAGTGTATAATTGGTAGATTATTTTGGATTTTCTAGGTATAAAATCATGTCACACATGAGTAATGGTATTTTCTTCTTTTTCTTTCTTAGGCAATTCTTTTTCCTTTTTCTTACCTTATTACTAATGCGGGGACCTCTAAGATAATGTTAAATAGTGGTATACAGTGGTAGTCTTCAGCATGTCCTCTTCAACCTCAAATTAATGAAGAAAATTTTTAATGGTTCATTATTAAATATAAAATTTACTGTAAGTTTTCTTAGATAATTATCAAATTTAGGACATTCCCTCTATTTCTAAGTTGTCATAATTATTTTTAAGTAGTATGGATATTGAATTTTAATAAATGTTTTCCTATCAATATAATTATCTGAATTCTCTTCTGTTTTCTATTAATGTACTAAATCATACTGGTGATTTTCCAATGTTAGATTACACTTTATTGGAAACAAAACTTGACTTGATCATGATATATATATATTTGTGTATCTTGATATATTTTGTTTAAGATCTGATCGTGTACATACATGAGAAAGAGTGAATCCTTTCTTGTAATATCTTTGTCAGATATCAAGGTTTGCTTTCCTAATACAAGTTGAGAAGCATCCCTTCTGTTTTTATTCTCTGAGAAAGTTTATCTAAGATTAGTGCTATTTCTTTCTTAAATATTTGGAAGAATTCATTAGTGAAACCAGCTGGATTTTTCTTCATAAGAAGATTTAAATTATGGATATATTGCTTTTAATAGAGAATTGTTTAAATGTTTATATCTTGTGTTTTTTGAGAAATTTATCTGTCTTATTTCAGTTGACAAGTATATTCATTAAAAATGTTATAATAATCTCTTTAATATCTGACCCATTGTTTATACTGGTTATTTGTGCTTTCTCTTTCATTTAATTATCTTTTTCTGAGGTTATCAATTTTATTAGTCCTTTCTTATTTTCTAATCTTATCTTTATTATTTCATTCCTTCTACTTTTTTTGGATTTTTTTCTAGGTGTCAGATTTTATTATTAGGAATAACTTGAGGAAGGGCGGGGCAGGGGGAGGAAGGGCGGGGCAGGGGGAGGAAGGGCGGGGCAGGGGGAGGAGGGGCGGGGCAGGGGGGGAGGGGCGGGGCAGGGGGAGGAGGGGCGGGGCAGGGGGAGGAGGGGCGGGGCAGGGGGAGGAGGGGCGGGGCAGGGGGAGGAGGGGCGGGGCAGGGGGAGGAGGGGCGGGGGAGGGGCGGGGCAGGGGGAGGGGGCGAGCGGAGATCTGAAGCAGAGAGCATAGCGGAGCAGCAGGCACAGAGAGAAGAGACCATCTGCTGCACCACATGCTCTAGCTCCATGCCCCCTTAGGGGGGCTAACTCCCACGCTCCTTGCGGGTAGCTCCCTGGCCGGGGCTTGAACTCAGGCCGCAGCGGTGAGAGCGCTGAGACTAACCCCTAGGCCATCCTGGAGGCCCCACCAGGGCCTTAGTTAAATGGAGCCTTTAACCTTTATTAGGAGGCTTCAGGAGAACTACTGACAGCTGCTTCTCCAGCAAGTCAGAAGAGACTACGGCTGCCCTTCCCTTCCCTTCCCTCAGTGATCATCACTGTCTCCTCCTAGGGCCCCTGGGCGCTGAGGGAAGATGGCTTTCAGCAGCACCTCCATGTCTTCATCGGTGACAAGAGGGGGCAAAGTATGGGGATTTTTCAAGTCTAAAGTATTTTTCATTGATGAATCAGAAGAAAAACCTACACAGTTCAGAAAGTAATCAGGATTGTACTGATCCTGAAAGATTTCTTTGGTGATGATCGTGTGTAAAATCAATATTTAGAAGTTTCTAGAGATTTAAGTATGCAGACTTCTGATGTCCTCATGGAATAATGAATGTGTCCTGACCCGCAGGATTCGTAGGCACGAAAAGAGAAGGGCTGAGGATTGAAATGAGGGGCTTGAGACAACTTGACGCTAGCGTTTGCTTCTTTATTTTTCCTTTTCCTTTCTTTTCCTTTTCCCTGTCTTTCTACCTTCCCTGACCTTCTCTCTGCTCCTCTCGCAATAACCTCTCTCGCAATAACCTCTCGACCTTCTCGTGGTTCTTCTTATATCCTGGTAGCTCCTCCCATCGTACCTCCCAGTCTCATTTGATTAATAGGAAACACCTGTGGTTTCTCAGCAGGCAAAACGGTAAAGCAAAACTTAATTAATGGCACGTGTGTTGCGCAACACGGCGCATGCTCCAGGCGGCCCCGGACATCTCCCCCTTTTTTCTTTTAAATGAGACACCTGGCCTGTCTTAGGTTGGCATATTCCGTGACCAGCCTTACCTGTCATCGCTAATCCGGCGCACTTGGTCCAGACCACTGTCTTAGGTTGGTCTGGACGGGCTACACTCTTACCCGTCTTTGGCTCTCACATTCTCTAGGATTAAGTTGACCCATCTGGATGCCACTGGGGAGTCCTGGTCAAGTACCATGGCGCCAAGTACTTGCCTGACCACAATAGCACGTTTTTTGTTTCGCTTCCGTAGCCGACGGAGAAACCATATGCCGAATGCACAAACAGCAACTCTGGGAGGAGTCCTCTAAACCAGGCCATGAGACCCTTACTCGAAACAGGGTAACCCGAGTGTTGTTAACAGTTATGAGCTGTCTCGCCAATTGAGAGGTCAGGTTCAGGAGCTGGTGGTTCTAAGGTCCTCTGATTACACTATTTAACCTATTTTCTTCCATAAACATATTTTTCACCATAACAGGAATTACACAAATAAAACTGTACAAAAAGTTACAATGCATGTGAGCAGTTAACAAAAGTGTGTCTATCTCTTTTTACATCAGAGCTATCTGCTAATTAAGCATCAAGTCCATTTCATAAATGTTCATTCATATCTTGCTATGTTGATAACACAAAAACATTGGCAACTAAATTGTTTATAGTGTCAGTATTTGCAGCAGTTTGAGTGACAGACGGCGGCAGCAGCTGCGGCCACCGCTATTGAAACAGCGACAACAGCTGCGGTGATGCCAAAATCACGTCTCCTCATAGGTAGAACAGGAAAAGGAAAGATGTGCAGAAACATCCATGGGTATGACTAAAGTAGAAGGCAGACGAACGATCACTGCCCTCTCCGCACTCCGGGTCCAGCAGGCAGAGAGGGTGCAGGGCTCCGCTGAACAGTTCAACACAGTTGCATTTCCTGCATTATTGAAGAGGACAAAAAAGAAGGAGGGGACAGGCAAACAACAGTAGACAAACTCTCTGATCTATTATTCTGGATACTAACAGATTGTTCAATGGTAGAACTAATGTTTGCAGATTAAATGTCATTAAATAATTTTACCTCACCCTGGCCCAACAGGGCACTATCCAATGGCTTGGAAGCTAGACCAGTAGTAAGATTAGTGGCAAACACTTGCGGAAAAGTGGAATCATGACGATCGATGAGGAGCAAAAAAAAACAGCTGATTCACAATCGCCCATTGTACTGACATCTGGGACGCTCGTGTCATCAAGGTTAGCAGGGTCAGGTACATCGACAAACCGAACCAATCGAGCAGGAACCCATCGGGGTGATTCCGCATCCTGTGGGAAAAGACAAATGCTGCCGGGCAGCTGTATTAATACTGGCGCGGGTGGTTGCCACTCATTATTAACTGGGTCCTTCCATCTCGCTTGCAGCATCGTGACCTGCCAAGGGTCTGGCGACCAGTGCCCATCGGCAGCTGACCGCCCCTGGGGATCTAGGGTCAAAAAATTAAGGGTAAAGAGAGCTGTAGTCAAATGGTCCCTGGGGGAGTGTTCTCCCCCTGTTTGTTTTAAAAGCATAGTTTTCAGAGAACCATGGGCACGTTCAACTATACCCTGCCCCCGCGGGTTGTATGGAATTCCTGTTTTGTGCACAATGCGATGGACCGCACAAAAGGAGGCAAAAGCCTTACTGGTATAACCAGGACCGTTATCTGTCTTAATGACATGTGGGCGGCCCATTACCACAAACGCTTGTAACAAATGTGAGCGGACATCAGAAGTCTTTTCACCGCAATGTGGGGAGGCGAAAAGAAAACCAGAGAATGTGTCGATGGAGACATGTACCCTAGTAAGCACCCCTTGAGGATCTGTCCCTTCCACGACTGGGTAAGCATAATTAGGAGCCTGGGAAACCAGGACTCTTTCCATCATAGAGCACAGTCTGTCCATTAACGGAAGATCAACCCTGTCAAGTGTTCTAGGAGGTGGCTCAGGAGGTGGCTCCCAGGTGTTTTCCATCTCCTTTTACGCTTCCTTGGCTTATAACAACCGAGGCCTTTCTCATCCTGTTCCTCGTCTCCTCCCGACTCATCAGTAGAATAATCTAGGGGAGGGGCTCTTGGAATTTTTTGAGTAGAGGAAGGGGGACTTACCGATGTAGAACTCATAATGGAACTTCTATCTTCTTCCTCTGTTTGTTTCGCTGTCCTGACGGCCTCAGTGGCTAACTGAACGGCAGCAGTGCCACCGGCATTAAGAGCATCTCCCACCACTCCCCAGACCGTCAAAGTAGTGCCAGGAAGAGACTCAAGACCATATAATTGCTGATGTAAGACGGTATCTCCTTTTACCTTATTCCATTTGTCACTATCGACCTGATCCTGCTCCAGAAACCATTTACTAGTGATACTAAGAGTCTCTACAAATCTTTTAAGAATTTTTCTACTGAGAGGAACCCCAAACTTTTTTAGGAGAGCTTCTAGGGAAATAACTAACTGCCCCTTGGACATTGAATTGCCCATGATCCCAGCTACCTTACCTTACTTTCCTTTACTTGCCGGCTCACCACAGCTGGTCCTGCAGCGGGTCCTTCGCTCTTTTTCGTGCCGCACGTTGGGCGCCACCTGTCCCGACCCGCGGGATTCGTAGGCACGAAAAGAGAAGGGCTGAGGATTAAAACGAGGGGCTTGAGACAACTTGACGCTAGCGTTTACTTCTTTATTTTTCCTTTTCCTTTCTTACTTTTCCCTTTCTACCTTCCCTGACCTTCTCTCTGCTCCTCTCGCAATAACCTCTCTCGCAATAACCTCTCGACCTTCTCGTGGTTCTCTTCTTATATCCTGGTGGCTCCTCCCATCGTACCTCCCAGTCTCATTTGATTAATAGGAAACACCTGTGGTTTCTCAGCAGGCAAAACGGTAAAGCAAAACTTAATTAATGGCACGTATGTTGCGCAACACGGCGCATGCTCCAGGCGGCTCCAGACATGAATGCTCTTAGCGAGCTGAAGAGACTCAAAAAAACAAAGTAAATAATCCAGTCACAAAATGGGCAGAAGAGATAAAAAGGAACTTCTCCAAAGAGGAAATGCAAATGGCCAACAGGCATATGAAAAATGTTCAGCATCACTTGCAATCAGGGAAATGCAAATCAAAACTACCATGAGATACCACCTTACACCAGTGAGAATGCCACATATTAAAAAAACTAGCAACAACAAATGTTGGCGAGAGTGTGGAGAAAAAGGAACTCTTGTGCACTGTTGGTGGGAGTGCAAACTGGTCCAACCACTATGGAGAGCTGTGTGGAGATTTCTGGACCTACTAAACATAGAGCTTCCATAGGATCCAGCAATTCCACTCCTAGGTATTTACCCAAAGGACACAGATACATTAATTCCAAAGGGCACCTGCACCCCTATGTTTATAGCAGCACTGTTTACAATAGCTAAGCTATGGAAACAACCCAAATGCCCAAAAATAGATGACTGGATCAAGAAGATGTGGTCCATATACACCATGGAATATCACTCAGCATTCAAAAAAAACAAACTCATGCCATTTGCAGCAACATGGATGGAGCTGGAAGGGATCATGCTCAGTGAAATAAGCCAGAAAGAAGACGAAAAACACTGGATGGTCTCACTCATAGCAGGAATTTAGAAACCAGCAAAGCACCTGTAGTCCATGACCTTAGTCTATCCTTTGCACTTGTTTTCTTCACGTTGTATAGAAGAAATGGATTAAGTAGAAGAAGCCATACATTTCTGGGCATTAAAGAATAGTTTGTGTGGTTGTTCAGAATCATCTTGGAAGGTGCAGTGATTTATCTCTCCATATCCTCCAGATATTTCTTAGCCCTTAAGTGTCTTTTAGTACCACCGTCTCTTCTCCCATTAGTATACACTCTGTTTGCCTTCCTTGCTCCTAGAAGCTGCCCAAGGACATATGACAATATTCTAAGATCTTTCCAGGCCCTCCATGGATGGCAGTGGTTTCATATCATGCTTAAACAATCTCCTGAGGTTGTGACCTGAGAGGTCCCGGCTTGGGGGATCGTCCACAGACCACGGCTGTACTCCCTGCTTCGACCTGATGCTCTCCTCAGGATCGGGAACACAATGCCCTAGGGACACCAGGTGACTGCAGGTCTCCAGCATCACATCCCGGTACAGGGTCCTCTGAGCTTCACTCAGGCACTGCCGCTCCTCCCAGGTGAAGTTCACAGCCACGTCTTCAAATGACACCGTCCCTTCTGAGGGAACATTTCTCATCTCAGGGCCGGCAGCCCGATCCGCCGACCTGGAAACCCAAAGGCAGGACCTGGAAACCCAAAGGCAGGACGCTGCAAGCTGGCCTAGAGCCAAAATGGGGGACTTTTTTTGGATTTAAATTGCTATTCTTTTGCCAACCTTTTTGATAGATATTTAACCATTGATTTTTGGCCTTTTTTCTTTTGTAATATATGTGTTTAAGACTGTAAGTTTCCTCTCTTCTCTGTCTGCAGCCTTAGGCTGGGGCCGGTTTCTGGTCAACCTTAGCAACCTCCATGGTGAGCCAGGGGCCAGCCTGCTGGTCTATGTCATCAGCCTTCAGCCTTGGGATCAGGCCAGTTGCTGGTCGAATTCAGCAACCTCCAGTCTGAGTCTGGGTTTGGCCTGCACCTCAACCTTGGCTGCCTCCAGGCTAAGCCTGGAACTGGCCTCCTGGTCAACCTGGACAATCATTAGCCACTGCCCTGGGCTGGGCTACTAATCATCCTTGGCAGCCTCCAGGTTGAGCATGGGGTCCAGCTGCTGATTGATCTTCCCAGTATCCAGGTTTCCCTGGGGGCATCCAGCTCATTAAGCCCCTGGCCTCCAGATTGAACCAGGGCCATCCTGCAGCTACTCTTTAAGAGCTTCTAGCTGATCTAGGGTCTAGGACCTGTGGGCTGTTCAACATTGGGCACCACCAGGATGAGACCGGGTCCTGTTCCACTTCCCAGTGGGGCTGGGCGGGGCAGTCGCCTGCATGCTGGTCTAGCCTGAGCTAAGGTGATACTGGCTGCTAGACTGGAGAGCCTCAAGGTGAGTCAAGGTATGGGACATGATTGGACTGACAGTTAATATGGAAGCCTTAAGGCAGACCCCAGGGCCATCTGCTGGTCAACCTCATCATCCTCCAGCCTTAGGCTGGGGCTGGTTGCTGGACAACGTCAGCAGCCTCCAGGTTGAGCCCAGGAATGCCCTGCAGGGCAACCTCATCAGCTTCTAGCCATAGGCTGGGGCCAGTAGCTAGTTAAACTTGGGAGCCTCCAGCCACTATTCAGGACTGGGCTACTGGTAAACCTTGGCAGCTTCTAGGTTGAGCCCTGGGCAGGCCTTCTGTTAAACATCAGCAGCCTCTAGCTATTGCATGGTTCTGGGTGAGTAATTGCCCTAGGCAATCTCCAGATGTCATTCAGCTAAGGCCTGCTGGTCAACCTCCACAGCCTCCACCCTTAGGCTGGGGCCAGTTGCTGGTCAAACTCAGCAGCCTCCAGGCTGAGCCCATGGTGCCCTACTGGGGGACCTCATCAGCCTCTAGCCTTAGACAGGGGTTGGTCACTAGTCGACATAGTCAGCCTCCAGGCTGACCCCAGGGATGCCCTTCTGGGCAAACTTATCACCCTCCAGCCTTAGGCTGGGGCCATATCACAGCAGATTCAACGCTGAGGCCAGGAACAGCCAACTGGTCTACCTCACCAGCCTCCAGCCTTGGCCTCAAGCCATTTGCTTATAGAATTTGGAAACTTCCACTCTGAGTCCAGGGACCCTAATCCTGGGACCGGCCTCCTGGCCAACCTGGCAGTTGCTAGCCACTGCCCCGGCCTGGGCTACTCGTCAACCTCTGCAGCCTCTAGGGCAATCTCCAGGAATTGCACAAGTCTGGGTGATTGCCCTAGGCCATGTCCAAGCTGTCTCCAGTAAGAGCTGGTGGTCAACCTCAGCAGCCTCCAGGCTGAGGCCTGCAAGTCCACATACTCAGCCTCCAGACATAGGTTGAGGCCAATTGCTTGTCGCCCTTGGCAACCTTGAGGCTGAGCCTGGAATGGCCTGCTGATTAACCTCCTCAGGCTCCAGGATGAGCCAGAGCTGGCCTGCTGGTTGACCTCCTCAGCCTCCAACCTAAGGCTAGGTCCTATTGCTCTTCCACCTTGGCTGCCTCCAGCCTTAGGCTGGGGCCGGTACTAGACGACCTCCTCAGCCTCCAGACTGAGCCTGGGCCAGCCTGTTGGTCGACCTCCTCAGCCTAAAGCCTTAGACTTGGGCCAGTTGCTCCTCGACCTTGGCAGCCTCCAGGCTGACCTCTGGGCCATCTGCTGGTCCACCCCAGCAGCCTCTAGCCTGAGCCGAGGCCAGTCTGCTGCCTAAGACTTTGGCTGGGTCCAGTTCCTGGTTGACCTCTTGGTGACCTCTGGTCTGAGCTGGGGCTGGCTTACTGGTGGACCTCAGAGGTGTACATCCAGGGCCTAGGGCCAGCCTGGTAGTCGACCACAGCATCCTCCAGGCTGAGCCCAGGCCGGCCTGCAGGCTGATCTCTGCAAACATCAGACTGGCAGCATCCAGGCTGATGGGAGACAGTGTGCTGGTTGATTGCAGCCACCACTAGGCTGACTGGGTCGGGACTGCTGGTTGACCTTAGCCCATGCAGGCTGACTGCTTCAGGCTTGCTGGTCAATCTCAGGCCCCTGCAGGCTGACTGGCTCAGTCCTGCTTGTTGACCTTAGCCCACGCAGGCTGACTGGATCTGGCCTTCTGGTCGACCCAGCCCCCTGCTTGTTAACTGGCTCAGGTTTGCTGGTGGATTCAGCCCAGTCCAGGCTGGCCGGCTTAGTCCTGCTGGTCGACCTCAGACTGGCTTGGTCCTTCTGGTTGACCTTAGCCCATGTAGGCTGACTGGTTTGGGCCTACTGGTCGCCCCAGCCCCTGCAGGCTGACTGGGTCTGGACTGCTGGTTGACCCAGCCCCCTGCAGATTGACTGGATATGGCCTGCTGGTCAACCTCAGTCCCATCCAGGCTGACTGGCTGGGTCCTTCTGGTTGACCTTAGACCATGCATGCTGACTGGCTTGGGCCTGCTGGTTACCCCAGCCCCCAGCAGGGTGACTGGGTCTGTACTGCTGGTTGACCTCAGTCCCCTTAGGCTGACTGGCTCAGTCCTGCTAGTCAACCTTAGCCCATGCAGGCTGACTGGCTCAGGCTTGCTGGTGGATCCAGTCCCCTGCAGGCTGACTAGATCCAGCCTGCTTGTCTACCCAGCACCCTGCAGGCTGACTGGATCCAAACTGCTGGTCGACCTCAGCCCTGTCCAGGCTGACTGGCTCATTCCTGCTGGTTGACCTAAGCCTGCTCATGCTCATGGTTTTCTAGGTTTGGGTTTCTAGTCAACCTCAATGCAGACTAACTGGGTCCGGCCTGCTGGTCAACCTCAGCCCTGCGTATCCTGACTGGGCCCAGCTGAGCCAAGGGCTGGACTACTGGTCGACCTGGGCAGCCTCCACACTGAGCTGGGGTTGGCCTGATGATTGACATAGGCAGCCTTCATACTGAACTGTGGCCAGTCTGCTGGTTGACCTCAATCCTTTGGCTGGTGCCAGCTGCTGGTTGACCTTGGCCACCTGCAGGCTGAGGCTTGGCTGGCCTGCTGGTCAACCTCCTCAGCCTCCGGGTTGAGCCTGGGTTCATCCTACTGGTCCACCTTCCCAGTCTCAAGGCTGAGCCCCATGGCATCCAGTTCGTTGAGCTCCTGATTTCCATGTTGAGCCATCCTGTTTTACACTTTTGGAATGTGTAGTTAAGGTCTAGGATCTGTGCTGGTTTTCAAGTTTGGGGCCCATCAAGCTTGCCTGGGACAAGCCTTCTGGTAGACAATGGCAGCCCAGTTTAGATCTCTTCATCTGAGTCTAATCTATGAGTATGCCCAACATTTGACTTTTAATTTCACCTATTGCTTTTTTTAATTTGTAAAATTATTATGTTATATTTTATAAGTTTCACATGTAGTGAAAATGTCCTCATTGTCCAAAATGTCTCTGTTGTCCTCTATTCTCTTAAACCTATTAATCACAGTTATTTTAAAGTCCACTTCTGAGGACAGTAGTAGAGTGTTTGTATTTCAAGCTCTGGATGATGTAATCTTTCTCAAGAGAGAATTTGCTTTTCTCCTATCAGGTTATTTGGATAAGGGCAGATCACCCTGATTCAATTTAAGATTAAATTAAATTGAAGCTATATTTCACTGCCTGGATATAGACTTCACCTCACTGTACTTCTCTTTGGGTTGCTCTATGATCCTGGTTGCTCAGGTCTTCACTAATTGGGCACCTCTGAGCTCTTAAAATAGATGTGGATGGATTTTATTGTTTGTTCATTTGTTCTTATATTTTTCACTTTTTCTCTGGTTTTTGTTTTGTTTTGTTTTTGCGGGGAGATTTAATCAATAAAACATAGTATTTAATAGCCCCCCCCAAGTCTCTTCCTCTCTATCAGTTTCCAATTATTCCTTTCATGATCATGTTGCCCAAATTTTGCCAGTGGGATCACCTCCATGCTGGTTCCTCTGTCCTTTTCACATATCCTATTAGGATTTGATTTCTAGAAAATATAATTACATATATTCACATGTATATATCATATATATATATTATAAATGTTAATTTGGGGGGGATACCCAGGCTTATTATTTACTGTCCCTAGCTATTCATAAATCACATTTTTTCCCCAATAATCTTTATGGCAAAAATGTGAGTCACTTTTAATTATGGTTCATAAAAACCTGTAGGCACTACGTTCTGCATCCCTTTTCTCTTGCTGATTATAATGGAGATGGTAACTAGCACAACCTTGAAAGCCATCAATTGAGGGTGGCAGAATCACAATATATATGTGAAAGATCTGAAGTGCAGGTAGATCCCCATTGGACTATTATATGAGCAAAAATTAAAATTCCTCTCTTTTAAGGCATTGAGAATGGGAGTTTTTTACAGCACCCAGAATTTTATTAATGAGAAGATACACATAAATGTTTGTAGATTGGATGAATTTCTACAGTATTTCTGCAGTAGTACCTATAAGTTACATTAAAAAATTCCTTGGATTTTGTTTCTTAATTACTTATAATGTATTTCACTATCAAATGGCCATAGCATATGGAATTATTTTCTGATTATGTTCTTATTAATGGTTGGGAAACATTCACCAAGACAGTTGATGAAACTTTTAGCTGCTTTTTATGAGAGAAAGATAATTGAGTTTTAAATTAAGTTTGACATAATGTATGGCTACAATTTTTCAAGGTCACCTCAATATTCTTCATCTGCAGTTCTGTGATAGAGAACATTTGATGAAATTTATTAAAAATCTACATTTAAGTTGGCTCTCAAGTTTTGAAATAATCAAAACTCAGGTGGGAACTATAATTATAGAACCATGATTCTTTCATCCAGAAATTCTAGTTATAAATTGGGGAGGTGACCCAGAAGTCTCCATTTAAAAACCATCCACAAATAAATTCTAATTTCATTGTTTCCTAGATTAGGCTTTGAAAAACCCTAATAACAGGTTTTGTAGGTTTGGGCATGTGAAGCGCCAATGAAAAATGAGTTGCTACAAGTATTTAACCCACACCAATCTTCCCAGGGCTATGTAATTGCTAATGATGTTCATTTCTATCACAGGCAATTAAATTGAACCCTTTACTTTTTACTGGCACACTTGTATTGTTAGGGATAATTCAATTACAAGAAAGAGAAAATCCAATTTAGCAGTTGCTTAAACACCAAAGGCTTTATTTCCTCATGCAAATAGTCTGAGTCAACTATCCAGAACTGATATCAAAACATCATGAATCTATCAGAGACCCTCCGATAGAAAGTCTCTATCAGAAACCTAATCACTCTGAGATTCTGAAAGAGTGGCTCTCACCTTTCTTATTCTGGATAGATGCAAGTGCACCAGTCATTATGTTTAAATTCCATTTAATAGAAAGAAGAAAAAAGGAAGAAAATAATGCTCTTTTCTTTTAAGGATTACTCATGGGAAGTTGCACACATCTCTTTTCCTTATATCCATTGACCATGTTTCGATAGAAGAGAGATTGGGAATATCAATGTTCATTCTGGGTAACCCAGCTCAAATTTGAGAAAGGCATTGCTTAGAAAAGCAGAAACTAGATATTGGGTGACAATTAGCAGTGTACACAATTTTATTGTTGGAATAGATTTGGTTGGATTTCACAATATCTACCATACCTGACCTGCTCCAGTGTTTTGTCATTTATGCTTCATTATGTCATTAAACCTCTACAAAACCTCTGGAGTAGAAGGAATTCTGATACCCACAGAGGAATGAGGAAACTCAACTTCAGCATGTTTAAGGAACCAGTAAGTGACAAATACAAAGTGCAGCTGGAGTCTTCCAGTACTTCTTCCATCAGTCTAAAGAACTTACGGGTAGTTGGTGTCCCAGGCATGTAGAGAAGCTCGGAGTCATAAGCATGGTCTAGTTATATAAGCAGTCCTCAGTGAATAAGTAGATCTAAAGCCAGCTGTCATGAGACAAGAAGGAAAGACATTACCAGAAAGAAGGCAGGTCATTGTAGAGTCAGTGCATGTTGACTCTGAGAAACCAGGGTAACAGGTGGTAACTCTCCCTAGTGTTTTTGCCTTAAAGAAAAGAGAGGTTTGGGTGTTCAAAGAGTCTTAGCAATAGAGGATTTCTACTATAGGTTGTAACAAAGTGTCTTAATGCTCCAATGAGGGTGGTTTTAGAGAAGGCCAGGATTTTTATCTGTCAGCCAGTCCCTCCTCTTTCTTCCCATCAACAAATGGGGAGGATGAGCTTTTACTCTTAGCTGGAGTTAACAGGGCCCCATAACTTTCTCACATCAGAGGAGACCTAGAGAAGAGTCAAAACTCTGACCACTACTACTTTGAGGTAAAGATCCACCTCTATGCCCCAGAAAGTGTCAGTGGGAGCCATGTGGGAAGCAGAAAGAAGGTTCCCTTCCCCTTCAAGCCAGGGTGGTATGAGCAGTGGCCTACTGGAGAAATTGAACTTTCCCCCACCCAGTTATGAGGAGCCTTTTCTCATTTGAGTGTTAACATAGTTCAAGGACAGAACCTGAATTTTTTTGCTTTTATTTTTTTATTGTTTATTAACTTACTTATTTATTCTCTTTATTGAAGTAATTGTTTCAAAATACTGTACATGATTCGGGGGAACAGATTCACACCTCCTCAGATGTATGTTACCACCTCATTCCTACCATCAAAACACCCACATTCCTTTACCCTAGGCCATTGGACCACCTTCCTCCATCCTTTGTTTCCATTCCTACCCTCCCTCCACCTCTAGCAGCTTTAATTTTGCAGTCATATTTCTATGGTTTATTTCAGTTTAGATTTGTCAGTCCCTTTGATTCCCCCCCCCATATTCCATATATGAGTGAAATCATCTAGTATTTGTCTTTCTCCTTCTGATTTATTTCATTTAGCATAATCCTCTCCATTTCCATCCATCTTGTTACAAATGGAAAGAGAGAACGTGAACTTTTAACCAGACCTGGCAGTAATGAGTCAGCCTCTCTCTATACACCAGAGTAGTATCAGAGGAGGCCTGCTTGTATGCTTAAAAGCATAAAATATGTTCGACTAATCCATAGGAAAGCAGAGAAACAGAAAACAGAGAAATGAAAAACAAAACACAAAGTAAAACAGAAGACTTAAGCTTTAGCATATAAATAATTACATTGAGCATAAGTGGCCTAAATACACCAATTAAAAAGGTGATTGACTTAATCAATTAAAAAACAAGACCAAATTACATGTTGTGTGCATGATACTTCAAACATAATGATACCACCAGGTTGAAATTAAAAGGAAAGGAAAAGATATAGTATACAACCATTAATCAAAAGAAAGTAAGAATATTATTATCAGATAAAATAGACTTTGAGCAGTGAAAATGACAAGGGACAGGAAGGGACATTATATAATGATGAATGGATTACTCTACCAAGATGAATCCTTAACATAGCTGTCCTAAAGGCATAGTCAACCAGCTGATATTTTAAAATTGTCTATGAGATAACACTGATTTACACACTGTAAATGTTTTAGAGTGATAAGTTCACACCTCTACAATTATATGTTATCCATGCCAACCACTAACGCCCCCAAAAACCACTAGCATACTTCATTGGTGTCCTACCACCTTTGCTCTGACCAACTCCCCGCCTCTCTCACCTTCTGGTAAACATCAGTTCTTGGAGTCAGATTTCAAGGGTTGTTGTGTGATGTTTTGCTTCTATTTTTTCAACAAAGAGTGATGGGTAAAGTGGACATCTTTAGAAACAATGAAACTTACCCCCTGAGTCCCACAACCTATAGAAAAATAAGCTCAAAATGGATCATAGATTTAAATGTAAACCAGAAAACTTTTCTCTAGAACTTAGGCCTTGGCAAATAGTTATTAGGCACAACACCAAAAATATACTTCAAAAAAAGTTGATAATAGGAACTACATCAAAATGAAAAACTTCCCATAAAATATGCCAAATAACTCAGTCCAGGCCCAAAAGATGGTGTGTGCAGTAGTCATGGAAGTTGGGACAACTCAGAAGACAATACAGGTAAAGGATAAAGAATGATGAAGAAGACCTAGATAAAGTCCAGATTAGGTATCTTTTTAGCTGCCATGACTAGAAATTCATTGTAAGTACAGATTCACATTAAGAAAGAAAAATGCTACAGTATTGCCTTGAAATTACACTATTGGACATTATTTATTGGAGCTGAAGTTAGTCTAAGATTTCAGGACAGAAAAAGGAGGCACAAAATTCCATTCGAATTTTCAAACATAAGCACAGACATGCACAAGTCTTCCGGTCCCCAAATGTCTGGCTGGAATGCAGGGTCCTGGGAGCAACTGGACTGAGAAGCTGTCTTAGATGAATCATACAAATGAAAACCCTCTAGAAGCTGCTTTGCTAAAACCAGCTCAGAAGGTCATAGGGAGAAAGTAAACATACCCTATAGTTAGCTTTTCTCTCCTTATTCTCTGTAAATACCAGTCGCTATATTTATACATTTGTAATTGCCACATTTTAATCTTAAATGTACTCACTGTATAGGAGCTATTTAACTAGACCACTTCTTCACACAGAACAGTGTCCAAGAGAATGTATAAATGAATTTGAGGAAGTGGTGCGGTGGGGATCAGAGAAAGTACAGGAAGGATAATATGGAGCAAGGAATATAAAATTGTGGCAGAACCTACTGTAACCCTAATTGTGAATCCTTCCTTTCTTTCTTCCTATCAATTACTAAAGAATTAAGATGATACGGTGTAAGATATATATTTTTTTGCTTGTATTTGTGTATTTTTACTGAAGTAACACTGCCTTATAACATTATATAATTTATATTACATTATATAAAAGAAAGTAAGGCCTTTTCCATTAATTATTATCAATCCTAAAAAATATCAAACCTCTTTGGACAAGAATAAAAATCAGGGCCTCCCCTGGTGGCGCAGGCGGTTGAGCGCCGTGCTGTGAAGCTGTCCGCAGCCTCTGTGGTGCGGGTTCGATTCCCGGCCCACCAGGGAGAAACCCACATGGCGCAGCAGACCTCTCCTGTCTCACCCACTGCTCCCCTCAGCGGTGTATTTCATCTGCGTATTTCATTTGAAGCACTTGAATATCCTTTCCTCTGTGAAGAAATTCTGGAGTGCTGTGTCACCTGAGGAACTGAAGCCTGCTCAGCTTGTGAGGAACCTGAGACTGGGACATCTTTCGTGGCATGCTGGTTTGTTAGGATCCTGATGCGAGTCCCTGTGTCTGGGATGGGGAGCGCTTGTCCAGCTCATCACGGCATGTCTGGTGTGACGCCCCCTTTTCACTCCATTTAAGATGTAGGTATTGGGCCTCCCCGGTGGCGCAGCGGTTGAGCGCTGGGTTGCGAAGCTGCCCGCGGCCTCTGCGGCGCCGGTTCGATCCCGGCTGCTCCCCGGCCACCAGAGGAGGGTCCCACATGGCGCGCAGACCTCTCCTGCCGCCCGCTGCTCCCCTCAGCAGTGTCCTTCGGTCCTTCTGCCTGCTCTGCTCCCCGCTCTGGCTCTGGTGAATTCTCTCACCCTCCCGCGCTTCTGACTGTACCCAGTGCATGTATAAACAAAACAAACAAACAAATAAAATAAATAAATAAAGCATGCCTCTATAAAAAAAAAAAAAAAAAAGATGTAGGTATTGTCCCCCCACCTCAGCCTGAAAGGCACCCGAATGAGAAAAGCTGCTCAAGATTTGGAGTCAGTCTCTAGGATTCAGAGCAAAGCTGTGGAGCTGGCTAAATGAACCCTAGGTTCCAGAACCAGGGTTCGGACTCCACCACTACCTACCCCCTGCCATCTTACCTCCTAGTGACTCAGTTTCTTCATCTGTAAAAAGTAGATAATAACAATAAGCTTCTTTCTTGTTGTGAAAATGAAAGGGAACTGTACATGCAAAGCCCTCGGAACAGTCCTGGCCCAAGGCAAGTGTTTGTACAATGTCACCTCCAGCCTCTGCTGGGAATCTGTACCATCTAGAACTTCTGAAATGCAGGAATTGACTGAAACCTGTTTCCTCTCTACCAAAGGGGCTGACCTACCTCCTGCCACTGGGTTGGGTTTTTTTTTTTTTTTTTTGTTTTATTTTTGGGAACTGAGGTGTGATTGACATAGAACATTATTTTAGTTTCAGTGCCTAACACACTGATTTAGTATTTATGTACGTTACAACGTGATCATCATACTGAGTCCTGTGAACATACCTCTCACAACTGGCTTTGGGGATGGATCTGTCCACAGATCTAAAACACCTGAGACCCACTCTGGCACCTAGTGGACACACAATAAGCATTATTGTCACCCGCTGATGATTTGAGCCTCGTCTTAACTTTCAGCAAAAGGCACGGCCTCAGGAAGTCTCCCTGGCGTGACAAGGTAGGTCAAAATGCAGCGTGAGCTATGAAATGCTATAAATCACAACCTGCTACCACTGCCCACCCCTCCTCCTTCACCCAGACCACCCCTCCCCGTGGGCTTCCTCAGCCTCCAGCCACTTCCTCCCTTTAAGGCTGAAAGCTGCCTCCTTTTCCCCTCTGCCTCCAACTTCTCCCACCCATGTTATTTCCCAGCTGTGCCTGGCCCTGTGCCCCCACCCTCAGGACCCCTCCCTGCATACTTCTGCCCCTCCCTGCAGACCCAAGGCAGCCTTCCTTTTGCCTACTGGGCTGCTGGCAGGAAGCTCTTCCCTCCTCCTCCACCCTGTTCCCCTCGGTAACACCCTGTACAATGGGAATTATTTCTCTTGGCAGCAGGTGTTAGCTGTCAAAGAGATAGATCAGTCTTGGCCAGAAGGAGGCAGGAAGGGAGGTGGGAAGGGAGACCCAAATGAGAAAGGTCCCCCGGCCTGGAACTGTAGAATGGGGAAGGTTGTGCATAGAAGCAACTGAACCCCGAGGGACGAAAGAAAGCGAGTCAGATCTTTATCTGAGGATTCTGTTC